ACAACTAGACTCATACCTCTTGGAGATCAAACACAAAGGGAATAGTCACATAGGTACAAAAACATTTATAGCATCATTTTTGTTGCAGCAAAGAAATGGAAAATAAAGGTGTACCTCAAATGAGGAGTGGCTACAAAAATCATAAAATATGAATGAATAGAATGGAATATTATTATACCATAAGAAATGGTGAAAGGGATAGATTCAAAGAAACCTGGAAGGACTAGTATGAATTAATACAAAGTATAGTGAGTCAGGAGAATAAATTTTATAATAGCTACACTATTATAAAATACAACTTTGAGAGACTTAAGAAATCTGATCAATGCATTGACCGACCAATCATGACTTCAGAGGATGGATGATGAAATGTACATGTCACCCACCTCCTAACAGAGTGGTGATGGACTAGAAAGGCAGAATGAGAGATATCTTTTCGGATAAAGCTAATATTTGAATCTTTGTTGCTTGACTATGCTCATTTTTTTTTCTACAAAGGAGAATTTTTTTAAAATTATGGAGCATTTGTGGGCATAGGGGTGCAAGTGATATTCCAAAAACAGAAGAAAAGAAAGAAAAGAGAATCATTGAAGCATTTTAAAAATGTGCAGAAGAGAAGGGTATTCAGAGGGAAATGCAGAAAAACAGGACAGCTTTGAGGTTAACATATTGAATACATGCTTGAAAAAACAAATTGTTCATATGAGAGGCTTATAGTTTCATATGCAATCTTTTTTCTCTTTTTTATTTGGAAATGTTTAACATAAACATTTGGTATTTGTGAAAGTAAAAAAACAATCAGTATTTGCCAAGTTCAGAATAACAAAATTCTAAATTACTCAAAATAATAAAAGATCGGATATATTTATAATTTTCTAGGTTTTTTCTTGACTTATGTGTTTTCACTTAAGAGCATTTTCTCAGCTCTGATCTTTTCATCATGAATGTTTAAAAGTTCTCTATTCTATTATTCTGGGCTGATGCAGAATCAGAATCCAACCCAGGCCACTGGGTGGGTCACTTTCAAAACATTCCCCTTCTGCTCAAAGGATGTGTTTCAGGTTCATTTGACAGTGAGGGTTGTTTAAGCTCTGACAAGGTGGTAATAATGATGTTATTAGATACTAATGATTTAATGTACTTGATCTTACTTGAGCTTATGCTAGCCTGCAAACCCCTTGGATTACCCCCTTTAAAAAAGCCTGTTGGCTTTGTACCATTTACTGGGTCTTATACTGATTTCCCTTAGAGTGATACTTCTTCCAGCCTCTGCCAGCTTCTGACCATCTTTTTGCTCAGTTCTGGTTTAGATGAGGGAGTTTCTGTTTCTCTTTGATTTTTGTTATGAGTCCCTTTTCAGATATTTTCTAGACTGTGTGTAGGAAAGTTGGGCTCTTATACGACCTTTCATAAAGTCATCTTGTCTAGAAGTCCCTTAGTATGTTTTTTTTGGTTTTGGGTTGTTTTTTTTTTTTTTATACTGGAACTCCCTTTGTTGCCCAGGCTGACAGTGCAGTGGACCCTCATGGGCTGACTCCCAGTATTGATTGGCATACAAGATTTAACCTTCTGACCTGGGTCAGTTTATCCCTCCTTCAGTAGCTTGGTGGCTCTCCACTCCTGAAGGCTCACCATATTGGTATGGGTCTTTATGCTTTAGTCCTAAGGCAGCTCAAAACTCCTGAACTAAAGAGATCCACCAGTCTTAGTCTCTCCAGCAGTAAAGATCAGAGGAGTTTGCCAACAAACCCAGCAGCTTGTAATCTTGAAAAAACAATGGAAGCCCTGGTTACTTCCTCCTGAAACTAGTCTAGAACACCCTATTGCCAAAGTTTAAAACTCCCTTATCTTCTGAATTCCTGTGTATTTTTGAAGTATAACTAAAATTCCACCTCCTCAATTAAGCCTCCCCTGATCCTCTCTGTGACTTCCTTCTTCCAATTGCCCATAGTACTTCATGTTATAACTCTCTAATAAACTTATCATGCAATGTTGGGTACTATCTCTGTTTCTTAGACATTTGCAAAATTGTAAGCTCCTGAGAGCCAAGTTGTTTTATCTAAATGTTCTGTTCCCGAAGCGTGAAGCAAGACACTGCTCAGGGGGCTTAATAAATGTTCCTTGAATGGAAATAAACCTATTTTGCCTCATTCAGATTAGGTTTAGTTCCTCATCCTTCCCAGCAGAACTAAGTGAAGCTGGGTATCAGTTTGCCTCAGTGTCCTCATCTGTAAAAAGGGGATAATAACCAAATGAGGTAATAATTGTAAAGAGCTTAGCTCAGTATCTAGCACATTAATAAGCTCTATATAAATGTTAGTTTTTATTACTATTATTATTTGTTATGTCAAGGAAGCTGGGGAGAGGCTGGTAGCAGTTCTGGCCAGAGGCTTTAACCCAGCAGAACGGAGGGTGGTGGTGGGGTGGAGGTCTTTATAATCTAAAGATTATGAAGCAAACCTCATCAGAACACTGCAGAATCCTGTGGTAAGTGCCGAGGCTCTTTCCTCTTTGGGTCTCCTTTATACCACTATTCAATCATTGCTTAAATCAAATCCACACTTCATGACTTGGGCTCCTCCAGAGGCTCTCTATCATTTTATCCCCCTGCTTTAGATGCCCAAAGATATTCCTGGTTCCCTTTGCCCATCCCTCAACCTCTCCTGACTTTATGTTGGCTGTTTCTCCCATCCGGAGAGTCTTTCCCTCATCCCCACCTTCCAAATTCTGCCTTCCATTCACATTCTCTATGAAGTCTCACAGCCCCTGCCCCAGCCAGGTCCCCTTCAGCTGCCTTATTCTGTCCTTGTTTTTGTCAATGTCCTGGCTGTGTGTACCATCACCACCATAGGAGGTCCATATTTCCTCTTCTCCGAGCCTAGGATAGGGTATGGAGGGGTAACAACAGCAATAAGAATAGTTAGCATTTACACGTAGCTTTAAGGTTTGCAAAACAATTTACACATGTTACCTCACAACAATTTTATGATATAGGTGCAATTATTATCCCCATTTTACAGAGAAGAAAACTGAGGCTGGGAGAGGTTGAGGTTCACACAGGTCTAGGGCAGGATTCAAATTCTGATCTTCCTGACACCAAATCTGATGCTCTGCCACTATGCCACCTACCTGCCTGGGGGAATAGGTAGCTAGGTTAAAAAATGTCTGGGTCCTTGGTCACAGGGTCCAGCACATTCATAGGCAGAGAGTTATTATATATTGGGTAGAAGGTTGTCAGCCAGCTCTGTTTCCTGTTGCTTCTTTTAAATCTTCATAACAACCTCTGTTTTCCATCCTGGTGAGTGGCCAATTATTATTATCACTATCATCATCATCATCATCATCATCATCATCATCATCGTTTTCATTTTTAGGCCTTGCACTCACTTTCCAGCTTGGGAAACTGAAGTCTAAGATGTTGAATGATTCACCCAAAGTCACATAGCCTTGCTGTGGGGAGGACCAAGGAAGACTTAGGTTTCTGACTCCTAACCCTGTGATCAACATACAAGACCATAAAGTAAAGGGAGGAGGTCTTGGGGTGTAGGGACATCCTTTCTCCTTGGATCCTGACTGGGGCCTAGATTTCTAAGTATACAGAATCAGATCCATTCTGCCAGTCCATTCACTCACCCCCAGTACTCTACTCTAAACAGAGAGAGAGAAAAGGTCATTGAGACCCAAGATGGTTGGGGCCAAGATCTCTCACTTTCATTGAGTTGCTTGCAAAGCACAATCAGGAGCAATGCCACAATTGTACCTGCCACCCCTCTAATCCTTGCCCTGCACTGGGCATGATGGGACAATTTACCCAGATCAGGCTGGGCATGTCAGGCTCTCTGCATGTTGTAGAGGCTTAAACTGTAGCTACCCTTCCCCCAACCCATGAAAAAAGTTCAGGTTACCTCACAAGTCACAAAAAAAAAAAACCTCTTTCCTACTCTAGTCCACTCTGCTCACCTGTTCAGTCCTCCTAACTCAACAAGAAGCAACACATCAAGAAACTTGACCCTAGCAACTCAGTGAGGCATAGGTTGTTTACACATCAGTTCCTCCTTAGTGTATTCTTTTTTTTTTTTGGGTGCTTCAGAAGTAGAATTTATTACAATTACATGAGCCTTACCCTTCTTCAATTTAGGAAATAATTCTGGAAAGAAAAGAGATGACTTTTCAAACAATACCAGGGGACACTTCTTATCTATAGTCCTTAGTTTTCCTTACTGGGAATTATTAGGGATCAAGGAATGGAATAAAAGTGTTATATTCCACTTGTTCATTTTTGAAGTCTCTGCGGGGCCAATTTCTTCGGAATGGCAAAGACACAGTCCTGTGGGGTTTTCCATTCATCAAAGAGACATGGTGACAGGGAGGAACATTTAATGATATCATTCACTGGCAGGGAGGTAAATGTGTGTGAATGCGTGGCATGCATGCATTTATATATGTATCAGAATATACTGGGATTGAAAAGATGGCAAGAGAAACCAGGGCTGGAAAAACTGGGAAGCAAATTCCCCAATTGTTAGGTTCTTAGAGAAACCTGTGGAGACATAGCTATCGCCCACGAGGGAGTTTTCACACTGGGTCTCTTAATCTCTGCTGGGTTCAGCAGCCCTGCCACGGGTCCAACCGATTCTTGAGCATCAAGAAGTTAATTTTTCGTGCCATTTTCATGTTGTAGATGCGCCGACAAGTCTCATAGCTCTCCCTCTGTAGCCGGCGACATGGCTTCTCATAGTGTCTCCGCCGCTTGATGTCATCAATAAGCCCATCCACAGTGAGAATTCTGTTCAGGGTCCTGTATGCACCTTCCACATTCCCTTCCTGCACCATCACAGTCCTGGCAATGAACTTCAGGTGGTTTGCCATGATCTTGGGACAAAGTTGTCCTTGTAAGGAAAGGCGTTTTCGACTAAAGCAGCTGAAGGGTGGGAGTGTGAGGCGGGGGCGGTGGGGAGACGACTGCCAGCTCGAGCCCGCGTCCCAACCGGAAGCGGAAACTGGAATCTCCTTAGTGTATTCTTTCAGCATCTACCCTCCACTACCCTCCCTTCGCTCCTAAAACCTAGTAAGTCCTCTGCACCCTCCTCTCCCGGTCACCTCCCTTCTTCCCTCCCTCCTACCTCCACTTTACCCACAATCTCCAAGATGCAGGTGATAAGAAACATTTGGCAGGCATGAAAGACCTGAATCACCTTTCTTCCCTTCTCTTCCCAGAAGCCAGATTTGGCGTTGATGAGGCTATATTCCCATCTGCTCTTTCCTCTCTACCCCTACCCGATGACGCACTCCTATCTCCATCCCCCACCTCCTTTCAGCTCTTGTTTCTGTCTCAGCTGAGCATCACAACAATCCCAAGAACTAGCAATATCACCTCCGTTTTACAGATGAAGAAACTAAACCTAATGGAGATTGTGTCCTGTCCAAGGTTCAGCTATTTCCATTGCTGACAATTACAGGTTGTGTGACTCTGGCCAAGTCCCTTAGTGCCTCAGGTACTTTATAGATTGCTAAATAGTCGCCTATCTGTGCTGGCAGAAGGACTTTCTTCACCAGGAATTCCCTACCCTGATAATGTTACCCCCCCAAATTGTTCAAGATGCTGACAGACACAGAGAATACAAACACAAAAGCAAAATAATTCCTGACCTTAAGGAGTTTAAATTCTATGGAGAGATATGGCAGATTTAGTGTAGGAAGAGACTCCAGAGGTCATTTAGCTCAAATCTCTTATTTTATAAATGAGGAAATTGAGCAGAGAAATGAAGTGATTTGTCCAAGGTTACACAAGTTCAATCAATCAATCAATCAGCACATTGAGGCACCGAATGCTGTATAAGACAAAAATGAAACATGTCTATCCTTGGAAGAGCTTCTAGTTAATGGGGGGAAATTATATATACATATATATAACATATATAATATATTATATATAATTATATAATTAATTGATATGATAATTACATATTACATGTATATAATTATATGTGTATATATATACATACACATATACATATAAACAAATTAAAAGTATAGAAGGTGATTTGAGGGTGGAGAGGACACTAGAAGGTGGGGCAGGGAATCAGGAAAGACCACACTCAGGCAGTGGCTCTTGAGCTGAATTATAAAGGATTCTAAAATGTGGAGGTGAAGAGGGAGCACATTCAAGGCATAGGAGACAGCCAATGCAAGGCATGGAGATAAGAGATGGGGTGCCGTGTAGGAAGAGCAGCCGATAGATCATTTTGACTAGAATGTATGTGAAAGGGAGTAATGGATAATAAGCGTGGACCAGTAGGTTGGAGTCAGATTGTGAATGGTTTTAAAAGTCAGAGAGGTGAATTTGTAATATCTCAAAAGTTTAGGGAACCACTGTAGCTTTTTTGAGCGGGGGAGTGACGTAGTCAAACCTGTTCTTTAAGGGTCTCTCTTCAGCAGTCACATGGAGAATGAATTAAACAGGGCATAGACCTGAGGTCTGGAGACCATTTAGAAGGGGTACTTTGACAGTCCAAGTGAAGGCTGGTGAGAGCCTCAACTAGGGTGATGGCCATATGAGGGGAGGGAAGGGAATGGATTCGAGAGATGTTGTCTGTACAGTTGTTGGAATTTGTTGACTTACTTGGGTATAAGATGGCTGAGGCTGGGGTGGGGGGGGAGTAGGGGGAAGCAAAATGAGGAACCAAGGATGACACCAACTGGTGGTGAGTCTTATGATGACATTTCAAAATGTCTACTCAACTCTATTGATTTAGGGGTTTTTTTTGGTTTGCTTGTTTTTTTTTTTTTAATTAGGAAAGCTTAGAATTCCTTTATCTCACTAAAGGCTTTTTTTTCCCCCTCTTAAAGCATTATACTTAGTTTTGTCAGGTAGGTTTTTCTTGGTTGTAAGCATTTATCTTTTTGAAATATCATATTCCAAGATCTACTCTACTGTATGTGGTAGCTACGAAGTCTTGTGAGATTCTGATTGTGGTTCCTTGGACTTTTCTTTTGAATATTTGTAATATGTTTTTCTCTGACTTGGAAACTATGTATTTTGGCTATGGTGTTTCTAGAAGTTTTCATTTGGGTATTCTTTGGAGATAACTGGTGAATTCTTCCTATTTTCACTTTGCCTTCTGGTTCTAATAAGTTTAGGCAGTTTTTGTTCATGGATTTTAAAAACATGGATCCTAGGCTTTTATTTTGGTTATAATTGCTAGGGAGTCTCAGGATTCAGGGAGACTAATGATTATTAGATGATCTCTGCTTGGCCTATTTTTCCCATATCTCAAATTTTTTTCTTTTTCAGTTTTCTTGAGCTTGTTCTAGTATTTTTTTATTATCTCATGAAGTAATTCATTTTTATTTGGCCATTCTAATTCTCAGGAAGCCTGTTACTTGAGCAAGTTTTTATACCTCCTGTACTAAGAGGCTTATTCTTCTAGTAAACCTTGTGGTCAAATGTGTTTTTGTTTGAGGCCTTACCTGTAGATGTTACAGAGCTATTTTTTTTTCTGGGTTTGTGCCTTGGGTGTCCTTGGATCTATAATATTTCTTTATCATTGGTGTCTTTTTCTGTTTACTCATTTACCTCCTAATTGGAGACTTTGCATCAGGATCAAGTTCTATATGCTTCTAAAAGAAATGAGGGAGCTTTGTTTGGATCTGAGCTGTGCTGTCTTGGGTCCTGTCATTACCTTTTTTATGTACCAAACACTGTGTTCTTCAAAGACCTCAAGGGCAGTTCAGGCCAGTGAGTGACAATTTTATAGAACCATAAGGGCTCATTCTGATCTAGGGTGCTGTCTGATTGCTGTCTTTCCATTTTGCGCTTTGCAGGCTGTTAACCTCAGCCCAGGATTAGATCAACAGAGCTTTAGGCTCCAAATCTCACCAAATTGTTCTTGGCTCACGCTCTTGTCTCTCTACCCCCATGATACAGTTGCAGGCTCCAAGCTTCCCTGGCTCACTCCTGTCTTTAGTGTGCTACGCTCTCAAGCTCCACTGTTCTGGCTGGACCCCTTCTGTAGAGCCCATACACTTGTTTGTGTAGATGTTATCTGGAAAAATGCTTTTCTGTAGTTTTTCCTTAGATTTCTTGATAATTACTCAATCTGATATCTTTTTTTTTATTCTTACTGGAGTAGTTGGGTGAAAGCGAGGCTATTCTGTTCCTGATCTCTCTACCATATTAACTGGAACTTCCCACTCTCTTTTGTTCCTTCTTTGGGGTGACTTATTGCTTCATAAACTATATAATATCACTGCCTCTGGGATCCCAGGAGAAATCTGTTTACTGACAGGGAGAGTGATAGGGTAGTAGTAAAAGAACATTAGATTTTTCATCAGAATACTGGGTTCAGGTCTTGGCTTTTCTTCTTATTAGGCGTGTGATGTAACTTCTTTGAACCTTCATTTCCTTATCTATGGTACTCGCCAGTGTCACAGAGGGTATCCTTCAGATCCCAAGTTGAAGATTTAGTGGGGAAAGACTGGAAAGATTCTCTAGGTGTTTCTGGTTATGGATGACGTTGTGGGCCTCTTGAATGAAAGCTACAAACACCCAAAAGAGATTGACCCAACCTTCTACCCTTCATGTATCAGCTGTCTGATAAATCTGAGCATAAATAGCAGGATCTCCAGCAGCATCGTGTTCAACTGACATCTTTTCCAAAGAATACAATTCAAAGCCCGTCCCAAGGGGAGGTAGCAGAGGTCAACCAACAGCATGATGTCTTCTTAATTGAAACCTGAATAGGTCTTCAGCATGGAGAAGTCACCTCTTTTCATTGCACTTCACCATCCTTAACACAGTAACCTAGTATTTTTACCTGTCCTGAAATGTGGCCACATCAGCCAATTTAATGGGCCATTCCTAAGGACTAATAACTAGATTTAGTTTTATCCTCAATCGACTGGTGCCATTTCAAACAGCATGGGACCACTTCACAGCAGGGTAAGGAACAGTTTAATCTTGTCTCACTACCTAAACAAACTCTGGAGAGAATAAAGTCTTCAAAGGTATTAAATGCTTCAAAGATGTAAAAAATAAAAATAAAAAAAAGATGCAGACTGAAAGACGGACACTGCATGTGGCAATGAAGGGAGCAGTAGTAACTTTGTAGATTTGATACTTTTAGTAAAGTGATCAGGTTATTTACTTCAAGGGTTGAGGAGTGAGAAGACAGAAAGTAGAGATAGTTTTCCCCAGTAGGAATTGAAAGGGAAAAAAGATTTCCAACAATATACAGGAGAAATAAGTACCAAGTAACAGCAGCAAGATTTGAACTCAGGTTCTCAGGCCTTATGTTCAGTTACATACAAGTGAAAAATAAACAACAAAAAACTTCAACACCCTTTCCACTATGCCATATTGCCTATTGTAAGGGAAAATGATCATAATGCCCCCTCCTCCCACCTTACACAGCTATTGTTTGGATCCAAGAGATAACATATATGAAAGTGCTTTGGAAAATATAAAGGGCTCTATTCATCAAACTTTTACTGAGTAACTACCCTTCAGTGGGTTAGGTATTTTTCTTATCCTTATCATAATCAAGAAGGTTTTATTCATCTCTCATTTCTGCTGGATGCTACACAGATTTAATTCCACACATCAACATTGAACTTGTGGATTTCATGGCATAAGACACACTGATGTTTGGGGTAATTTTATATAACTAGACAAAATAATAACAAAATTAATATGGAGGAACAAAAGCTCAAGAATCTAAGGAAAATAATGGGGGAGGGGGGAGGGAAGTAGCAATGAAAGAAGCTTAGTATTACCAGATCTCAAATGATATTGCAAAACAGTAATCACCAAATTTTTTTTAAAGTAGCAAAGTTGATTAGTGGAATAAATTAGGTAAACAAGACCCCCAAATAATTGAATATAGAAGCATATAAATCCAAAGATGCCAGTTATTGGTAGGAAGGATTCAATATTCAATAAAAAACTGCTGGGCAAACTGGAAAGCAGTCTGGCAGAAATTAGATTTAGACCAACACTTAACAACATATACCATAATAAGCCAAATAGATATATGACCCTAGTAGAGAAGGAAAAGAGATATCTTTCACAGCTATGGCTAAGGGTAGAATTCTTAACTGAATACATAATAGAGATGATCATTAGAAGATGAAATGGATAATTTTGATTAGATAAAGTTGAAAAAAGTCTAAACAAAATCAATGAAGTTAGGATGAAAAGAAGCAGTTGTCTCTGCTGCAAGTGTCTCTGATAAAGGTCTGGTATCTAAGATATGCAGGGGAATGACTCAAATACAAGAGCAGGTGCCATTCTGTAATGGATAGTCAATATGATATGAACATGCAAGTTTCAAATGGATAAACGCACACTATCAACCATCATATGAGTGAATCCTCTACATCATTAATAATTTTAAAAATTCAATTAAAGCAGCTCTGTTACACCTCACACCAAGAAGATTTATGAGCACGCCAAAAGATGAAAATGGCAATTGTTAGGAGGGCCATGGAAAAACAGGTATATTAATGCATTCTTGGTAGAGTTGTGAATTGTTCCAATCACTCTAGAAAAGTTTGGAACCATACCCTAAAAGTCACTAAACTAAACATAATTTTTGATCCTGCAATACCACTCCTAGGCATATGCTCCAAAGAGGTCAAAGACAGAGGGAAAAGATTCAAATGTACACAAATATTTATGGCAGCACTTTTTGTAGCAAAGAACTGGAAACAAAGTGGGTGCCCATCAATTGGGAAATGCCTGAAAATGTGGTAATTGAGGAAATGGAATATATTGTGTGATAAAAAAAAAAAAAAAGATAAAGGGGCAGTGGATAGAGCACCGGCCATGGAGTCAGGAGTACCTGAGTTCAAATCCAGCCTCAGACACATGATACTCACTAATTGTGTGATCCTGGGCAAGTCACTTAACCCCTCACCAAAAAAAAGAAAAAAAAGGATTGGCATCATGGGGATAGATTCTTGTGGAAGGTCCCCTCTCTGGAGAGTATAAGAAAATCTGTAGAGATGCTCTACCCTCTTTTTGAGCTTGTCAACTTGGGACTTTGCCAGCCTTTCCTTGGTCTTTCAGCAAAGGGGAAAGGTATTGCTTCCTTTCCTACCCCCATCCCATTGTAGCCCATAGAGTAAGGTCATGTCTAGATGTTTGCTTGTGCAAGCCTGACACTGGACCTCAAGCCACTGGCTGCCTGCTCTGATGTTGTGTTTCTTTCCCTGGACACAGGTCTGCAGTCATCAAGTATAAATCTTGAGAGATATACGCTTCCAGCCTTGGCATCTACTTAGCAGAACCCAGCTAGTTTCAGAGTTCTTGGGTTTCTAAGCCAGTTCTATTTGTCTAGCAAGAGGTGCTATCTATAACTACATCACTTCTCAGAGGAAGAAATGACCAACAGGAGCACATTGAACCTGAAAGGGGCTGAATAACCATGCCTAGCTGACCAGATCTAGGCCAGAATTGGTTGGACAAGATATATCTGAAGTGTAATTGAAATGTCTGTTCAAGCAGTCCCACAAAGTGCCTTTCTCTTTCAAGAAGATTGTAATGATAGTGATGGATTATTCTTTGTGTGTTAAGAATGTGTGAACGCATACTTATGAGCCTTTTGCATCTTAAACATTTCTTTTGTAGTGGAGGAAATAAATAACTATCCTATATCTGATATCAATTTTATGTGTTGAATATCTTTTCTAGACAGGACTTTGTTAATTCCTTTTGGGATACCCTGGATATGAGTTATAGTTAAGCTTTGTTTTCAAGATTTTCCCCAGGGGTCTACTTCAGGGTGGAGACATAGCATGCTAGAGAGTTTGAGAAAAGCCTTACTTCCATCTTTTAGGGGCTAGACCTGCCTTGGGATGAATCCAGAGCAAGTAGGAACCCCTTAAAGGAAGGGGCTTCCTGGGTCATGTATGATAAATGTAAAGGACACTGGCCCTGAAGTCAGGAGGACCTGAGTTCAAATTCCGCCTCAGACCAAACACTTGACACTTACTAGCTATGTGACCCTGGGCAAGTCACTTAACCCCAATTACCTAAAATAAATAAATAAATAAATAATTTTAAAAAGTTAGAAATGTGAAGGGAAACAATTTTGAAAGACTTCAGGTCTCTGGTCAGTTCTGTGACAAGTCATTATAATGAAATATTTTGTCTGCCTTTTGGCAAAGAGATGCAGAGTGATATATGATGATAGATAAAACATCAATTAAGCACTTACTATATGACAGGCACTGTGCTAATGTTGGAGATACAGGCAAAAAAGATAACTCCTCCCTTCAAGGAGTTTACATTCTAAGGAGGGAAGACAATACATAAAAGAGATCTAGAAGGATAAGGGGTAATATGAAGCATCTCCAGGATGAGAAGGCTGGAGGTGAGGAGGTACAAAAGTCCAAAGAGTGAGGAGTAGAAGTGAAAATGACATGAGCATGACCTGGCCACTTAATGAAAATGAGGTCTACATTTTCAGACACTGCCAATATGTTGATGCCAATATGATGAGTGCTAATGGGTAATGATAGAGATTACAAAGAGCCAGCTTGACTTTATCAAGAGCAGATCTTCATAGACTCACTTTATTTTCTTTTTTTCAAGGTTACTAAATTAGTACATCAGGAAAAGTCTGTAGCTACAGTTTACCTAGATTTTAACAAATTATTTGGTAAGATATCTCATACTATTCTTATGGAGAAGATGGAGAAGTGTGGATCACTAGACAATAATACAATTTCATGGATTTGGAGCTGATTGGATGGTTTGACTTGTAGAGTAGTGGCTAATGGTTCAATGCCAACTTAAGAGGAGATGCCCAATGGAGTACTCCAGGGATTTGTGTCCGATCCACTGCTCTTAATATTTTTATCAGCTACCTGTGTGACACCTTCATTGCTATGGAGACAAGAGATTCAAATGGATGCTATCTCAGTATTCACCAGCTGAGGACATGTTTCGAACTTAGACCTCTGGGAATATGTCTATGGAGAATTCTACTAGAAAGATACTAGAAGGTAGGATTAACAGCCATCCTTTCTGAAACCCATCACACTTAGAGGAAGGCAAGAGGGCAGAGTGCTGAGCAGCTATGGCTGTGGTCTCCCCTTTCCCTTCCACTAGGACCTGATTGAAAGACAAGTATCAGATGCTAAGGAACAAAAGTCAACCTTCTCTGGGCAAGAATTGATGAGAGTATGTTGATAAAGCTGGAGAATAGCCAAAGGGAACTGCATTTCCCCTCATTTGTTTATTAAAGAGGAATTGATTCAAAGATCAAATTTCTGTTAAACTGGTGGATAATTTCCTCTCCTTTTTGGGAAAAGGTTGAGCTCAGATAAAGAAGCTGGTTCTGCCTCTATGGCCTCTGGCTGCTCCCCATAGAAACAAATTCTCTTCTCCACCTCCCTTTCCCATTGCTCATTGTCCCTTCATTGCTATTGTTTTACTTCCCCTACATTTATACCAAAGAAAATCCGGTGGCTGCCAAAAAAAATTGTTTTAAAAACTTTTTTTTTAAATAAAGGAATACAGTTTAAGTGAGGAACAGGGGACGGGGAGTAGATAACAACTTCATTCGGAAATTGCAAGCCCAATGGAGATATGTTGACATAGTAGCATTAAGAAAATACATGTTTTATAAAACAGGGGAGTCTATAAATAGGTTAATTATCTGTAAGGGCGCTTGACCTGCACATGCCTAGATCACCTTATCCTGCTTCACTGAGTTCCCCAACTATGTGGGTGGGAATAGTTTCCTTTAATTGGCTTCACAGATAATCAAATCCCTAGCTTTGTTGTTGTCATTGTTGTCCAGTCATTTCCTTCTCCAGCTCATTTTACAGATGAGGAAACTGAGGCTAGCAGGGTTAAATGACTTGCCCAGGTTCACATAGCTAGGAAGTGTCTGAGGCCGGATTTGAACTCAGGTTTTCCTGACTCCAGGCCTGGAACTCTGTCCCCTGTGCCGCCTAGTTGCACCAAATGTCCAGGCAAGAGATCTAAAAGGAGAGGGTAACAGGGAAGGTATTCCCCTCCTGGTTCAGTTCAGGTTGCCTGCACTGTGGGTTAACTGTGATCTTCACCCTCTGGACACAGGAGGAAATTGTACACAAGAAAGAGATTATTCCAGTCCAATTTTTTTTTTTTGGCAATTGGGGTTAAGTGACTTGCCCAGGGTCACACAACTAAGTAAGTATCAAGTGTTTGGTCTGAGGCTGGATTTGAACCGACTTCAGGGCCGGTGCTCTATCCACTATGGCACCTAGCTGCCCCTCCAGTCCAATTTTAAAGATACAGACTTTTCTGGCTACACAGTCAATCAAAAAGGTTACTCCTACCCAAGTGGTAGGGAAACTCAAGGATGTGGGGTACATCCATGTTACGGACATCTGCAGTTCTGGATCTGGACATGTGCAGTTCAAGCTCCCATACCTTTATATAAATTTACCCCTAGACCTAGTGATATAAGCCTTGGAGGAAAGAGTAAGCCAAGATTGGGAAAGGAAGATCTGTACTGCCTATAGGAACCACCTCCACTGAACCTGACATGTGGAAGTAACCTCTCCCAGTAAAGTATTATACTAGGGCATACCCTACTTACTTCCCTTCCTCCCTTTATATTATTCACACTTTCATAAAGATATAGAATGTAATGCTAATTAAATCTGCAGATGACTTTAAACCGGGAACAATAGCTAACAACTTCAGCGACAAGAGTTAGGTTCTAAAAATATCTTGACAGATGACATTGGGCTGAGTCTGATAAGATGAAATTGGATAGGGAAAATGTCAAGTTTTAAACTTGGGTAAAAAAAAATCAATGTCAACAATGCAGGACAGGAATGGCATGGTTACACAGCAGTTTATTTGAAAAAGACCTAGGGGTTTTAGTGGACTGAAAGCTCACCATGAGGCAGCCATGTCATATGGTGGTCAAAAGAAGTCATGAAATCCTAGGCAGTACAAAGAGTGGTATGGCTTCCAAATATAAGGAATGTAGAGTAAGAAATCCTAGGCTAGACATCTGCCCTTGTCAGGCCACATCTGGATTCACTTTGGGGCATCAGAGTTTAAATACATTGATAAACCGAAGGGTGTCCATCTAGAGGAGGGGAACCACAATGGTGAAGGACCCAAGTTGTTGTTGTTGTCGTTGTTGTTAAGTCATTCCAGACATGTCTAACTCTTCATAACCCCATTTGGGGTTTTCTTGGCAAAGACCCTGGAGTGGTTTGCCATTTCCTTCTCCAGCTCATTTTACAGATGAGGAAACTGAGGCTAACAGGGTTAAGTGACTTGCCCAGGGTCACACAGCTAGTAAGTGTCTCAGGCCAGATTTGAATTCAGGTCTTCCTAACATTAGGCCCGGTGCTCTATACATTGTGACATCTAGCTGCCCAGAAAGACCAAGAATCCATGTCATGTAAGGCTCAGTTCAAGGAACTGTATATTTAGACTGGATAAGAGAAGATTCAAGGGAGATGAAATAGCTGTATTCAGGTATTTGAATAGCTATTTCTGGGGGAGATTACTCAGTTTGCCCCAAGGGCAGAATTAGGAGCAAAAGTAGAAGTTGTAAAAAAGTGAAATTGGGCTCAATGTCAGCAAAAACTTCTTAACAGTTAGAACTGTCCACAAGTGGAATGGCCTGCCTTGAGAAGAAATGGGTTCAGTGGCAGTCTTCAAGTGGAGACTTGGACCACACGTTGTGAAGGATAATTTTTTTTTAAACTTGCACTAAATGTCTCCTGTGGTTCCTTCCAACTCTAAAATTCTGGGATTCTCATGTCACATTTTAAAAATGGAACTTTGTTTCAGGCAAAAGCCTCCCAGGAACAATAATTATTAAGAGATTCCAGGAACAGAAAAACATCAACAATAATAAAGACTCTAATTATCACGCTCACTCTAATGACGGTCCCCAGGGCTGAAAAAGGAGTTGCCAGCACTTTCCCAAGGACAAGACTTTCTTAATCTTGGCCTTTGGGATTTTGACCCTTCTCCTTCCTTACCTCAGTTGTCTGTCACGATAAACGCCCAGGGCACTTGACTTCAAAATAGTAACTGTGTATGTGTGTCTTTTGCCTTTCAGGTATTTAATGAGAGATCATTTCGGTTCTTCTAGGTCATCTCTTTGGGTTCTCCCTCCCCCCTGCTTCATTTGGGATCCCCAGCTCTCTTCTTTGCTCCCTGTTCATCTGTGGGAGGAGCACATGAAGGTCTCATAGGAATTTCTGAAATCTGGGCTCCCTTCCCATGAAAGAAAAAAACAAAGGTTGATTATTGTTCTGGGCTGGGCTTTACTCAGGCCAATCTGGTGGTTTAGGCTTAGGACTGGAATGAAATAAGATACTCATAGACCATCTAACATTTAACAAAAGGAAGTTTATTCAACAATAGCTCAGAAAGGCTATTTGGCAAAGCTACATTATTGGTTCAGTTGGGCACCGTTCTCCTTGACTCCATATTTGCCATACTGCTACATCCCATCATAATGGTGTGTTGATGTGCCAATACGAAGTAAGTCAATCCTGAGGATCTTTGACTATTTGTGCACTGGAATTTTGGGTGTTCAGAGAGGATTAGCACCTCTGGTGTGAGGGCTTACCAATCACTTTCAAGAACTACTCATCCA